TTTTGAATAAATCAGGAAAGATTAGTATAATTTATAAGATATATATATCTTATATATATATATATATAATATAATTTATAAGATTGTTCACTAAATCTTACAAGACTTATAAACCTTATAAGATTTATAAGATTTAGTATAATTTATAAGATAATAAACATATATATCTCTTATATAATAAGATAAGGCCAGGCATGGTGGGCCATGCCTATAATCCCAGCTATTTCTTGGGAGGCTGAGGTGAATCGTTGAGTGCAGGAGTTCAAGACTAGCCTGGGCAAGGTGGCAGGACTCTTTAAAAAAAATTAATAAATTTATAAGATGATGTTCTGTTTTTCTTGTTTCTGCATAGCCAATAGTTTCTGAAGATCAAACAGCAGCCCTGATGGCCCATCTATTTGAAATGGGATTCTGTGACAGGCAGCTAAACCTAAGGCTGCTGAAGAAACACAATTACAACATCCTGCAGGTTGTGACGGAACTTCTTCAGGTTAACAACAATGACTGGTATAGCCACCGATACTGAAGAGTGACCTTGTATTAAAAAACTCTGCCTGCTGCTCAGAGATGATCTTTATTCTGTCATTGGGGGTGTGGGTTAGAAGCCCTAGCTTGTTGTTTAATCTGATGAATCAGTATGGTGTCCCATCATTGAATTACCAAGACAACACCTGTTACAGTATTGGGGGGAGCAAATCAAAGACCAGAACTTAAACTTTCATTTTAGACATTGGATGAATAGTAGGAAGACAGTTTTTCAATTGATTTGGATAAAACTCCTTTCTTCATTTATGTGTTAGAGTGTAACTTGAACTTCTTTTCTCCTGCCTTTATTGAAGTTGAGTATTTTTCTTTGGTTAATGTGGATGTTTTATGGGACTGTTAATTGTCAAGTTTTAAAAGAAATTAATGTTGAAAGTTGTTTTTAAGAATTATTCTCATAATTTCTGTAACCTACCCTCCAAGCCTCACAGCTGTGTGATATTGAAATAACACTCAGAGTGTGATAGGAATGTTGCTAATTCTTCCTTTCCCAAGGAGAAAGTCATTTCCCTGCAAGACCATAATAATTGGCACCACTGCTTCCTAACAGCTCCACTGGTGTATTTAAGAGCATCCAACTTCTGGGAATCTGCATTTCAATGAAAGGGAAGAGTGTGCTAATAATCCCATCAGCACCTATTGATCCAGTGTCTATACAGTAATTTTGCATACATTTTTATTTAAGGGAAAAATGTAAGTAGATAGTGTGAAATATTTTGCTAATCCTATAGAGAAGGAAAAAGACTCTTCAACTACTTAAAGGGAAAAGTAAATTTAAGTTACCTTTTTTCTTAATATCAAGGCAGATCTTCTTTTACAGTAGAGTGGGAGAAGTAGAAACGTGGAAAGCGAAAGACCAGCTCCTGAATTAATCTCAGTAAAATTCAGGGTATGCAAGTGAGCATGAGGCATAGGAAATGCTGATCACTTCCTTGAACGTTTGAAATTTGTTCAGAGGTATCTAGCCCTAGAGAACCTAGAACAGGAAGACGCAGCTGATGTTTTGCAAAAGTTGGATGAAGGCAAACTCACTGAAAACTTTTTGATTTAACCCCGGGATGAGGGGAAATAGTTTGCTTGCAGAGGTTCAGGTGCTCACTTGGTTTACAGAAGAGAGTCTTGGGTGCAATTGTTGAAGAGGTAAGAAACACACTAAAGAGTTCATCTATGAATGACTTTCTGAAAAGGAAGAATCTGAATCCCAGCCGAAAGCGGGAAGGATAATTGAAATAGTATTATTTAACCTAGTTGGTATTTATAATGAATGGTAATTTTAGTCATTTGCCATAATGATGTTTATTTGCAGTATAACTCTTGAATGTTACAATAAACCAGGATTCAGACTGCAAAGCAAGAGGGTTGTTCATTATTTAAAACGTTATCGGGGCTTCTAGGTAGAAAGCCAAACGCAGGGTGTGTGTAATTAGGTTGATGAAGGGCGGGAACTATCTTGTCCATCGGAATCTCAGAGGTCGAGGAGGGCCCGCAGGTCCGGTTGTCTGCCCGGTTGTACGTAACCTCTGAAAGGACGGCGAAATAAATGTTCTTTGAAACTCCGGCCTGGATTGGCTAGTTCTTGCGGAAGCAGCGTCTAGCCCTAGAGTGACATTTGAAGAGCGGAGGGCGTCTCCGGCCGTCCGGGGGAGAGGGGCGGGGCTGAGGCGGGGCTTTTCAGGCACCGACTCAAAGCTGGCGACTAGGGTTCTACGCTGCACTTTCGATCTGCTCTGCAGCGGTCTCTTTCTGCCACCGTCCCGCGGTAAGGTGTTCCAGGGGTCCTTCTCTGCTTTCCCTTTCGGAGGCAAAAGGCTGAAGTACCTTCTATGCCGCCGCCTCGTCCAACACACCGGGACACGCGGATGCCAATGTCTACCAACGGCCTCTTGGGGTTTCCCGTGGGACTTAAAGTCTCCCTTCAATGAAGTCACACTTGGTCAGTAGGACAAGAGAGGTCAGAGTCCCTGTTCCCCCCACCCTCCAACGCGGCACATTCACTCCCCCAGGACTGTGGTGAAGAGGACTGTTTGCCCAGGACACCCCAGCCGGTGCCCTCACCCTGCTCTAAGGGGCCCCTCCCCAAAGAGGCACTCCAGAAATCTCGCCCTCTCGCATCTGACTGGAGCCCGAGATCCCAGACCGGAACCAGGTGAGGCTTCCTTTATTTTTAGCCCAGGAAGGCTCACCTTGCCCACCCCATTCTGCCACCACACTTGAGGTTGAGGAAGAGCCCAGATTTAACCTTGACTTTTATTTTTTTGAGACAGAGTCTCACTTTGTCACCCTCAGTAGAGTGCGGTGGCGTCATATAACTCACATCCTCAAACTCTTGGGCTCAAGCGATTTTCTTGCCTCAGCCTCCCAAGCAGCTGGGGCTACGGGCGTCGGCAACAACACCCGGCTATTTTTTTTTCTTTTTTTTTTTAGAGACAGAGTCTCACTTTGTCACCCTCGTTAGAGTGCAGTGGCATCACAGCTCACAGCAACCTCCAGCTCTTGAGCTTGGGTGATTCTCTTGCCTCACCCTCCTGAGTAACTGGGACTACAGGCCCTCGCCACAACGCCTGGCTATTTTTTTGTTGCAGTTTGACCCGGGCCGGGTTTGAACCCACCACCCTCCGTATATGGGGCCGGCGCTCAACTCACTGAACCACAGGCGCTGCCCAACGCCTGGCTATTTTTAGAAACGAGGTTTCGTTCTGGCTGAGGCTGGTCTCGAACCTGTGAGCTCAGGCAATGCACCCTTCTCGGCCTCTCAGATTGCTAGGATTACAGGCGTGATTCACCGCGCCCGGCCTATCCTTGACTTTTCCTAGTGAAGGACAGACCCTGACATTACTATGAGTATCCTCAGGCTTTTTTCCTTCCTAGTCTCAGCAATGAGAAAGTGCCTCCCACCCCCGGGATTTCTTGAGATAGGATTTTTAACCACACCTGTGGCCAGTCTTGCCCCCTCCTCCTAAGAATCTCTGCCTTTTTCAACTTCCTTCTCTTGAACTTAATGACAACTCAGCAACTTCCCCAGGAAAAAATAAATGCTATGCCATTCACTTATGGAAGTCCCTTAAAGGGAAATAACTTCTGCTTTTTGTTTTATTTTTTATTTATTTATTTATTTATTTATTTTTTAAAGATACAAAGTCTCACGTCATCGCCCTCGGTAGAGTGTGGTGGGGTCACAGCTCACAGTAACAATTCTCTTACCTCAGCCTCCGGAGTAGCTGGGACTACAGGTGCCTGCCACAGTGCCCGGCTATTTTTTGTTGCAGTTTGGCTGGGGCCAGGTTCAAACGGCACCCTCGGTATAAGGGGCCAGCACCCTACTCACTGAGCCACAGGCACCACCCTTGTTTTGTTTTTTTGAGACAGCCTTACTCTGTCACCCTGACTAGAATGCAGTGGACTCAGCTCACTGCAACTTCAAACTCTTGGGTTCAAGTGATCTTCCCAAGTAGCTGGAGCTACTGGTGCATGCCACCATGCTCAGCTAATTTTTAGTCGAGATGGGGTGTCATTCTTACTCAGGGTGCTCTTGAACACCTGAGCTCCAGTTTTCCTCTCACCTCAGCCTCCCAAATTGCTAGGATTAAGTGTGGTGCCCCATGCTGGCAATAACTTTTGCTTTTCTTTTGTTTTCCTTTTGTTAGGCAGATTGATCTTTATGATAATGAAAGGAGTTGAAATGCATAACTTACTCAATTTTTCATACCCTATCTTCCTTAGGCTTCAGCTTGCTTAAATTGTGGTGGAATTCCTTGCCAATCTTGAGAACTCAACCCAAAATTACAAGCTTAGCATTGAATTTTGTTCAATGAATGATGGGTGAGATATTCTCTCAGCTGAGCTTTCAGTGGAAGGATGAAAACAAGTTGATTTTGTCTGGTGACCCAGCCATTGGAAGCAAGGCTGCCAGCTACTCTAGTACGGGTAGCAGCAACTCTCTTTGTTCCTGTGTGCCTTGTGAAGGGGCTGCTGGTACCAGCTTTGTGACTTGTCCTACCTGCCAAGGCAGTGGTGAAATTCCCCAAGGTGAGTTGCCCAAAGCTCTGGAAATAGCCTAGAATGCAAGGAAAGCTCTTAGAGAGCCCCTCTCAGTCACCTTGAATGGGATCAGATCTGCTCTTCGTTCTTGGTTTCCCATCTTGGGCTATCCAGGGAGATGCTAACTATCCCCAGGGTCCCTACAGAGTACCACCCTCCTGTTCTAGTTGTATTCCCCAAGCCTTTGTTGGGAAGGAGGTTTCTAGCCACTCTGTTCTGAGCAACACTTGGGAAACAACACTTTCTGAACAATTCAGTTCAGGAAGTTACAAATTATATCACCAATGAAATTGGGGTTCTCTGATTTGCTGACGACTTTTAGAGATTCTTCATATAGAAATCTCTTTCCCAATTTAGCACATTAACTGCCATATGAGTTGTATTTAACTCATGCTAATTTTGAGCCCAGGGCCTCATGATACTGTGAAACCTCTGTTCATTGTTTTTTTCGCTATCAATGAGCATGTTTCCCCCACCTCCTGTGGATCTGCTCCAGTCAGCATCCCCACGCCTGTCACACATGCAGGACTGTTCTCCAATTACCATAACTTCTCATCCCTCCTTTTGCCCTCAGCGTTTGCCTGTTGGCTCTTTGAAGGAAATCAGTAGGATAGTATACATGACATTGTTGCACATACTTAAGCATTATGATTTGGGGATCATCATCCAAGACCACCCAAGGTCCACTCCAGAAACAACTAAATACTTGTGGAATGACAAGTTTTCAGAAACAAATTCAATAATTATATCATGAGCCACATGCAACCATGCCCAGAGGAAAAACAATTTTTTTCCTTAGTGTGACAGTCAATGTGCTAGAGATGTCAAAGCTGAGCTGCCAGCTTCAGCAGCACCTCCCCAGGGTTCCCAGTCTAACTGCAAGGCAGGGCACCATGCTTCCAACATTGCCTTATGGGCGGGGGGTACTTCTGAGAGGCTGGCACAGGAAGTTATCTGTCATGGATGCTTCTTGGTCCTCTCTCTCTCTAGAGCTGGAGAAGCAGCTGGTGGCTCTCATACCCTATGGGGACCAGAGACTGAAGCCCAGACACACGTAAGCCCCTCTTCCTCCTCCACCTCCACAAGCTATCACCCCTGTGGATAACCCCATTTTGATGCCCCCTAATTTTTCCATTAGTTCTTCCCCAGAGCCATGCCCCTCAGAAGACACTAACAATGGATGGATATGGTCCTGTTCTGAATATTAAGATTAAAATTCAGAACTCTCAAACCATGGACTTATTTTTTCTAGTGATAATAGCTAGCATTCATTGAGCTTTTGCTATGTTCAGGACCTACAATTATTGTTTTTTTCATGCATTAGCCCATAATACATCCTATGAGGTTGATACAGGTATCTAATTTTACAGACAAGGAAACTGAGGCTTAGGGAGGTGAGCTTCTCAGTGTTACTGAGTCAATGGGAACAGAGAGCTGGGATGGAAGCCAGCCTACCTGCCTCCCAGTGCTGTGCTCCCACCTGCTCTGGGCCACTTCTGGAGAGCTTAATGTGCAGTTGTAGGGGATAGCATGAAGGGGAGAGCCTTATGTATAGAGAGATGTGTGAACCCCCTCCCCAAGTTTCCTTCAGACTTCACTCCTTCATCACAGGTCCTCCTTCCCCACAGGAAGCTCTTTGTATTCCTGGCTGTGCTCATCTGCCTGATGACCTCCTCCTCTGTCGTCTTTTTCCTGTTTCCTCGGTCCATCACCGTGCAGCCTTCGGGCCTCAACTCCTCCACAGTGGCCTTTGATGAAGATGACATCCACCTCAATATAACGGTGGGTGGGTACCCCTGACCTCTGTCCCTGCATTCCTGGCCATACTTCTTTATAGGCCTTGTGTAGTATTGCAACCTTGGGTTGCATATTGTGAGGACTGGGACACAGTAAGGGGCCAGATAAATAATTCTTAGGTTGAACTCATTCTCCTGTGATATTAAAAATAAATAAATAAATAATTCTTAGAGTAGAGTAGGGGTGGCAGTGCCTGAGACACTTGGGATGGACAGGACTAAATAAAGAGAAGCTATGCAGGATGGACTTGGATCTGAGCCAGCTTGAACTAATAAAAGATGACTCCTCACTGTTAAGATCTCCTGGCTCGGCTCCGCGCCTATAGCTCAACCGGCTAAGGCGCCAGCCACGTACACCTAAGGTGGCGGCTTCAAATCCCCAGTCCGGACCCACCAAACAACAATGACGGCTGCAACCAAAAAAAAGCCAGGCGTTGTGGAGGGCGTCTGTGGTCCCAGCTACTTGGGAGGCGGAGGCAGGAGACTCGCTTGAGCCCAGGAGTTGGAGGTTGCTGTGAGCTGTAATGCCACGGCACTCTACCCAGGGGGACAGCTTGAGGCTCTGTCTCAAAAAAAAAAAAAGATCTCCTGGCTCAGCGCCTGTGGCTCAAGTGGCTAAGGCGCCAGCCATGTATACCTAAGGTGGCAGGTTCGAATCCAGCCCCGCCCAGCGAACAACAATGAAAGCTGCAACCAAAAAATAGCCAGACGTTGTGGTGGGCGCCTGTGGGCCCAGCTACTTGGGAGAAGGAGGCAGGAGACTCGCTTGAGCCCAGGAGTTAGAGGTTACTGTGAGCTGTGATGCCACAGCACTCTACCCAGGGGGACAGCTTGAGGCTCTCTCAAAAAAAAAAAAAGGTCCCCTCAGAGGGTAGGGTGCCAGCCCCATATACTGAGGGTGGCAGGTTCGAACCCAGCCCTGGCCAAATTGCAACAAGAAAATAGCCAGGTGTTGTGGCAGGTGCCTGTAGTCTCAGCTAGTCAGAAGGCTGAGGCAAAAGAATCGCCTAAGAGCTGGAGGTTGCTATGAGCAGTGACATCACAGCACTCTACCAAGGATGACAAAGTGACACTCTGTCTCAAAAAAAAAGGCTCAGCGCCTGCAGCTCAAATGACTAGAACACCAGCCACATACACCACGGCTGGCAGGTTCAAATCCAGCCTAGGCCAAAAATAGCTGGGCATTGTGGCTGGTGCCTGTAGTCTCAGCTACTTGGGATACTGAGGCAAGAGAATCGCTTGGGCCCAGGAGTTTGAGGTTGCTGTGATGCCACGGCACTCTACCCAGGGCAACAGCTTGAGACTCTGTCTCAAAGAAAAAAAAAAGATCCCCTTTAAGAGGCTCCTAGTACTGATGCTCTGCACTGGAGGACCCTCATGGTAGGGTGGGACTCAGGCCTGAGAGCCAAGTTTCTGCAACTGTTTGGCTTCTCCCTTCTGAGGATGGGCCACTCTCACCTCTCCCTTTCCTTGTCATCCCCAGAATATCTTGAACATCTCCAATAGCAACTACTATCCCATCATGGTGACCCAGCTAACCATTGAGGTTCTGCACCTGTCCTTCGTAGTGGGAGAAGTTTCCAACAGCCTTCACCTACACGTTGGCCCTTTAACCAGTGAACAGGTAACTCCTTTCTCCCCTGCCCACAGGTATGTGGTTATGTGTGTGGTTGTGGGAAGGGGGCAGCTGGAGTTGGGGCTAACTCTGTGCCGATTTGGTTGACAGATATTTTATGCAGTAGCCAACAGAATATTGGATGAAAACACATAGTGAGTACCCCTTGATCTCTTCTCCCCTTAGCCTCTCTCCTGGCTTGGAAACCCAGTTAATAACCACAAGGCAGCCTAATTTCTTTTTTTTTTTTT